CAGCAACCTGAAAGAAAATTACCACATTTAATATATGTAATATTATAGTATGATAATATATTTATTTTTAATTATATTTTATTGATTAGGCTATTACAGTTGTCCTGATTTCCCCCCCCCTTGCCCGCCTACACCCAGCGCCCCCCACTCCCTCGGGCAATCCCCACACCATTATTCAGGTCCATGGGTCATGCATGGAAGTTCTTCGGTGCTCCATTTTCCATGCTGTACTTTACCACGTGGCTGTTCTGTAACTACCTGTTTGTACTTCTTAATCCCCTCACCGCTTTACCCATTCCCCCACCCTGCTCTCCCATCTAACAACAATCAAAACGCTCTCTGTATCCATGATTCTGCCTGTTTTTCTTGTTTGCTTAGTTTGTTTTTTATATTCAATTGTTGATAGCTTTGTATTTTTTGCTATTTTATTGTTCATAGTTTTGATCTTTTTGAAAATAGGTCCCTTTAATATTTCATATAATAATGGTTTGGTGATGATGAACTCCTTTAGATTTTTCCTGTCTGGGAAGCTCTTTATCCGCACTTCAATTCTAAATGATAACTTCCCTGGGTAGAGCAATCTTCCCTGTAGGTCCCTGCTTTTCATGACTTTGAGTATTTCTTGCCAATCCCTTCTAGCCTGCAAAATTTCTTTTGATAAATTAGCTGACAGTCTTATGGGAACTCCCCTGTAGATAACTAACTTCATTTCTCTTGCTGCTTTTAAGATTCTCTCTTTATCTTTAATCTTTGGCGTTTTAATTATGATGTGTCTTGGAGAGGGCCTTTTTGCATCCATCTTGCTTGGGACTCTCTCTGCTTCCTGGACTGGCGTGTCTATTTCCTTCATCAAATTAGGGAAGTTCTCTCTCATTATTTTTTCAAATAAATTTCCAATTTCTTGCTTTTTCTCTTCTTCTGGCACCTCTATGATGTTTGGACCTTTTGAAGTGTCCCAGAGGCTGTTTACACTATCTTTGTGTTTTTTGGATTCTTTTTTCCTCTTGTTGGTCTGATTGGTTGTTTTTCTTCCTTATGTTCCATATCATTGATTTGATTCTCAGTTTCATCCACTCTACTATTGTTTCCCTGTAAATTGTTCTTTATTTCTATTAGTGTATCCTTTGTTTCTGAGTGGATCTTTTTTATGATGTTGTGGTCCTCACTAAGTTCCTTGAGCATCCCTATAACCAGTGTTTTGAAATCTACATCTAATAAATTGCTTATCTCCATTTTGTTTAGGTTTTTTTCTGGAGTTTTGATCTGTTTTTTCACTTGGGCCATGTTTCTTTGTCTCCTCGTTTTAGCAGCCTCCCTGTGTTTATTTCTATATATCAGGTAGAGCTGCTTTCACTCCGTGTCTTGATAGTGTGGCCTAATGTAGTAGGTGTCCTGTGGTAGGGTCTAGGGGCACAGCCTACCCTGTCACCCAAGCTGGGTACTTGAGGTGCGCCCTTCATGTGGGCTGAGCACACCCTCCTCCTGTAGTTGAGACTTGGCTGCTGTCGTCAGATCAATGGGAGGGATTTACCCAGGCCAGTCAGCTCCAAGGACTGGTTGTGACCACTGACCATCAACCTCCACCCTCCAGGAAGATCAGCTGTGCAGGGGCAGGGTGGCGGTGCTCCTGTAGCTGTCCTCTGAGTGCACTGGCCCTCGGGTTTCCCGGGTGGTGCAGGCCAAGGTCAGCCCCGACCTGTGTTTCACCTGGGGCACCCTGCCTGAGCTGTAAAGCAACCTGAGATGGCTGCTACTTGTGCTGGGCTTGGAGATTCCTAGGCAAAGGCAAATGATGAATCTTGGCAGGCTGCTGCTGTTGCTGGGCCTGGGGCTCACTGAGATCAGCTACTGATTGTTTGAGAGGATTTGGGGGGTTATGAGGCAGGAGCAAAGACCAGCCATTCATATAGAAAAGCAGCTTGGGTAGGTCTGTAAGTTGGGTGGGGTGGAGTCTCTGGGGGTCTCCAAGTCAGGTAAGACAGTGTTAGTCAGTTGATGGAGTCTCAGGTATAGCACCAGTTTGCCAGCTCTGTGGGGGGAGGGTTTAGAAAAGAGACAAGGGCCTCTGCTCATGTCGATGCCAGACACTTTATTTTCTCCCAGTGTACCACTGGTGCCTTTCAAGCTGCTACCCTGACGCTGGAGCTCAGAAGAAATGAGTCTAGTAGGTGAGTCCATTTGTAGGTTCTTTAAGAGGAACTGCTTGGGGCTTCCCACCGTTTTTTTCACTGACTCAATCCCGGCTGGGTTTTGCAGCCAGAAGCTGTGGGGACTTATCTTCCTGGTACTGGAACCCTGGACTGGGGGGCCTGGTTTGGAGCTGGGACTCCTTGCTTCCAAATTTTTATCCACCACATGTGGGTGAGGGACCAGCCCATTCCACATCTGCACCCCTCCTACCAGTCCGGGTGGATGTAGTTTCTTTAATTCCATAGTTGTTAGACTTCCGTTCAATTCTGTTTCTGACGGTTCTGAGTGATGGTTGTTCTATATATTTTAGTTGTAATTTTGATGTGGTTGTGCAAAGAGGTGAGCCATGTCTTCCTATGCCTCCATCTTGACCGGGAGTCCAGTAGTATAATGTATTTAGACTTGGCCTTTGATTGGAGGATTTCTTACTGACACTGCTCACCTTACTGTGAAATACATGATGAGGCTCTTTGCTGGCAACTACTTGGGAGTTTATAATGACTCATTCAAGGGCCTAGCCAGTGAGTCTGAATTCCAGGATGCCATTGTCACTACCGGGGCCCATTCTAACATAAACACTCTTGGCAAGATGAAGGCTGAGCGTTACAGCCAAAAGAATCAGCAGAGCACAAGAAAGGCACACCATGCAGTGAACACCTGATAATCAGTTCAGAGGTACGTGTGAGCTAGGAAAGGCGCTGGATACTGATTCTACAAGAAGGGCTGTATCCAAAGACTCAGAATGAAATACAAAAATGTTCCCTGCCATTTGCTTGTGATTCATTGTGGAATCTTAATTATATTCCTTCCTCAGTAAAACTAAGGAACTACACCACATTGGGTGGATCTGGGCAGGATGGTCCATGACAGTAGAAATTGACAGCAGGAATCCTAAAAATGCTGGGAATGCAAGATAAAGTCAGCAATCATTAGTGACATTCACGTAGTTTTTGGTCCCAGGGCCCTCCCCAAAGCTTACTTCAAATGACAGGGATCAGTGGCTGAAATATTGTGGTAATTGTCATGGGACTTTAGTCTAAAGGGAGGGAGATAGATACATACATACACACACACATATGCCACACATACATACGTGATAGATAGGGCAGCTTCACCAGTGCATGAAAAGCCTTTTAGGAAGAAGCTGGTTCATGTAACAAAGGATAGGTGGTTAAGAGGGGCAGACCTTAAAAGCCTGATGTCTGGCTCTTTTCTAGAAGTTTCCCAGGCATCCTCCAAGGACAGGAAGTTTCTGAGGGGGAACAAGGGGCATTCCTCCTAGACCTGGCCACATGACAACTCACCTGCCTATAGAAGTGTACCTTCCAGAGTAATTACTCAGCCAAGGTATTTCAAACTAGGTGTTCGGGACTGAAGTTTCTGGTAATGATGTGGACAATCTAAATGGAAAACATTTTCACTACAAAACACCTAGAAATACTGGAAAACATGTAACAAACTTATCTTTAAATGCATATATAAACTAGCAAGACCCAATCGTTTCAGTAACCTTGCATTGGGGAATATTGATTATTGGGGTTTGGGGATTTTAGAAAGTCCTACTTTATTCCTATAAATAAACTTTGTCATAAAGTATGTCAGTGAAAAGTGAAAGAGATAAATCAGAATTTCTGGAGTCAGCTTCTTAAACTGATCCATGTTGCTGAACTACAAATATAAGGTATAGACAATCCACCATATTCCCATTCTCACAACAAAGCACGGCCTTCTTTCCTTAATAATTCAGTTCTAAAGCCCTTGGGATCAGTGGCCCACACAAAGGTGTGCTGAGCAGGGCAGTGGCCTGGCAGAGTCAGAAGAGTGTTTTCGTACAAAGAGATTGAACAAATATTGAGGATTGAACAAGTACATTGAGGATGACAGGAGTCAAGTTTTTGAAGGAGGAGTTCAAATATGGGAAGGGAAGAAGCTACAAAGAACCAGGTAGTATTGCACTGGAATTGGCGTTATTAAGATGTACTGATGGCTTTCAACGTGTGTGTGTGTGTGTGTGTGTGTGTGTGTGTGTGTGTGTGTGTGTATGCGCTCGCGCGTACACATATATTTTGTACTCTTGACTATTGAGAGAGCCTAAAGCAGTGACATCCCGAAAACCAGGAACACACCTAGCACCAAAATCTTGGATTCTAAACCCCATTCTCTGGGCTACTAAAAGCAACCTGGACTCCCTGATTCCAGAGCTGAGTCAGGGAAATATAAGATGAACCAGACATCTTCCTGGCCTAGAAGTAAGGAAGCACTCAAAGTGTGATGGAGATAAGGCGGAAGGGCTCAGAAGCTAACTTGGATGGGCTCCCACTTGCCAATCTGGGACAATTCAAGCATCAAAGTGTGTAATGGTAGTAAAAGATTATAAACCTACTGAATAAAATAGGAGACCATGAATCCATACTGACATGGATAGATATATAGAAGAGGCAGCTTAATCTATTGTAGCATGCCAACCAATAAATGTAGATGGAATGATAGAATTTGAAAATCACCCTTTGGTAACCATCATAGTAATACTTAATTTAAGGAAGAAACTTCAATGGATGCTAAACTAAGTGAATGAAAGTTTGGTGAGGAATGAGATATTTGCATAGTCTCAAATAAGTCCTTATTTAAAACAAACAGCAAACAAGTAAGTTTATGGTGGAAAAACCTGACAACCATTAGAATCAAGTGTCAAAGTTCACATCATTGGTAAGCTACAGTGCAGATAGGCCAAGTTCAAGAACTGCACTGTGCACAACCTGTCCCAAAAATGGCATCAAGAATCAATGAAGTTATATGAATCTCTTAATGACATGGACCCCAAACTCATGAAAAACCTATGCTTTGCCAAGAAGCACGAGAAAGGCCTGAAGATGTGGGCCAACAATGCCAAGGCCATGAGTGTGCATGCCAGGTCTTTCAAGGCCCTAGCCAAGCCTGAGGAAGTCAAGCCCAAGATCCCTGAGGCATCAGCCACAAGTGTAGTTGACTGGCCCACATTGCCCATCCCCACCTCAGGAGGCTTACTGGTGCCCGCAGTGCCAAAGGTCTCAGGCTCTGCTGGCCAAAGGCCCAGGCTCAAAGCAGGCTCCAGCTCGAGCTTCAGCCTGCCTCTAGCTCAGGGTCCCCACCGGTGCCTGGGCTCCACAGAAGCCCTGTGGGAGAGAGACCTCCATGTGCCAACATGAGGACAGAGGGACTGGTGTCTTCCTGGGCTGCTGTCTGCATGAGGCTGGTATCCCCCTGTGCTATTTGTACAAATAAACCTAAGGCCAGCAGCTGTCAAAAAATAAATGTCATTGATAACGGGACAAATAAAGTCAGGTGCCACCTGATAGGATGCAGTAAGAAGATGAAATTCCTACCAGAAATGCCTAATCCGAATCTAATTATGAGAAAACATCAGACACACCCAAAATGAAAACATACTACAAATTAACTGACTCTGGAACCTTTAAAATGTCACTGTTTTGGGAAACAGAGAGATTGAAGGAGACTGAACAAGTTAACAACGAAAGAAGTGCCTAATCCTGGACTGGGTCATTTGGCTGTAAAGAACATTATTTGGACAACTCACGAGCTGTGAATGGGGATGGTGGTAGGTGTAATATGCCATTGTTGATGTCCCAGTCCTGATGGTTAAACTGCACTTTGGTTGGAGACTGTCCCTGTTTGAAGACTGTAAACACTAAAGTTTTAGGGGAAGGGGGAATCATGCTTGCAACGTACTCTCAAATTATTCAGAAGTTCTTTGGATTATTCTCTCATTTTTGTGTTTTTGAAATTATTTAAAAAATACAAAAACTCAAGGACTTCAAGCATGCTGGGGCTGATAAGTTTTTACCACAATTGCTACAAATGCTCATTAAACATGTAACAGGCACCCACTGGGTGTGGTACAGCGTATCCAGTCGCCCTCACTGCACCCATCGCTGCCCTGCCGGAGAAATGGGCTCTGGAAAGTCTGGGCTGGCAGCAGAAATTTACTCTTGAAATCAAGTGTCTGTTGAAATCAGAATCTGTGGCATAACAAACACAAACCGCTCATTCTTTCCACTGAAGCATCTTTACTGTGAGAAGCCACGTCAAGTCATAAAATGCTTATTGCCAAAGCCCTTCTTGCTTACTGCTCAAGATTAATGCCATTTAAAAATATACCCAGGGGCAGATCCAGGTTTTATTTATGTCTCTCAAGAAAAAGAATATAAAGTTATAAATTTAAAAACTGGCACAAGACCTCGGAAGGGGGCCATGCAAGTGAGGGGCCCTGAAACTCAAACCCCAGTTTCGGTCGGTAAATCCACGCCTGACTCTGCATAAAGCAGACAGACTTACTTTGTTCTTGAGAAGCAGGAAGTCCAGCCACTTCCTCTGTGGTGGCATCTTTTAAACCTGTGTGAATCGAGATTCTTCTAGGACGTTTGTCTCAAGATAAAACTAAGCCCTTATTTGGGATTCGCCTGTAGGCATCCTCTTGGTATCAACAGAGGGATCGTACCGACTTTTGAAGGACAGCGTGTCCAGTGGAAATCAGAGCTCTATAAGATTTGTTAAGCAGGCAAACCCATGTATTTGGGGTCGTGTGCCATATGCAGACATCATATTAAGGCCACAGAGAACCCCTGCGGACTTCCAGTGTGATTTGTGTAGTCAGTCTGGGGAATATCACAGAGCGGCAAGCCCCCTAACCACTTACAGCAATACTTCCCTCACCCACACCACGCAGGGAGCGTCACCTACACGACAAAGTCCACAGAGTGTCTGGGCGCCAGTGGTATTGCACTAGATCTGACTGGCCTTCCCCAACAGGGACCCCCTGCGCCTCCTCCTCACCTGGGCCTCCCCCACCCCACCCACCTCCCGTCAGGACTCAGGGTCTCCTCGTTGGGGCCACGTGGCCCTCAGAAGGTCGCGCTCCCACTTAGCTCCTATTGCCCACAGGACAAGGTCCTGGCTCCTCAGATGGCACTTAGGCACTGGTCTAGCCTCCCCTCCCCCAGCCCTGGACCCCACTTCACTCCAGCCAACCCTGGCTACTCTCCCCCCCCCCCCGCCTCGCCCCCCCGCAGGCCACTCCCTTTCACGCTCACCTCTCCGCCTTCCTGTCCTTCCCTTGCTCCCCCACCCGCCCTTTCCCCTCTTCTCCGGCGGGCAAACTTCCCCCAGCGCTGAAGGAACAGCCGGTCTTGGTCCATTCAGGCTGCTGTAACAAACTTCCACAGACTGGGTGACTGTACATGCTTATTTCTCCCAGTTCTGGGGGCTGGACTCCGAGGTCAAGGTCCTAGCGCGGTCCCGTGAGCACTGTCCTCGGGGCCCTAAGCTGGTGCCTTCTCTTGGTGTCCTCACATGGTGGCTGGGGGTGGGGATCGTCATCTTTGGGGGTTTTATTTCTACATGAATTTGGCGGGCGGGCACGTTCAGACCATAGCACAGCCCAGATGTCCCCTCTGTGAGGTCTTCCCCACCTCTAAGAGGCGGACTCACAGGACTCATGTCCTTCTGGGGCGCGGAGCCCACTGTTCCCATTGTGCCTCCCTCCCCTCCAGTTCAGAGACACCTTCCTTGCCAGCCGTCCTCCTGGCCACGAACAGCCCGAGGTAGAGCCATGTTTGGCTCGTCTCCGGAGGCCCAGCACCGCGCACTGTGCCCGCCATGTGGCTGGCACGCAATCATTTCCCAAAGTTTCAGTTATTAACAATAATGCCAGCGAGCATTCTATTTGCTGACTGTTTATCCTGCGCCAGGTACTTTGCTAAAGCAGCCAATGAGCACAGGTGCTAAAATGCATCTATGACCTGAGGAGAGGGTGTGGCCTCTGGGGGTCTCCTCCTTCCAGTAAAGGAGAGTGAGATGACTCAGTTGTCACCTTGGACTGAGATTTGGGGTGAGGAAGCCCAGGCTGGTAAACTTTGGTCAGCCAGAGGTCACCGTGGGAGCCTCCCAGGGCGGGTGGGGAGGCGTGGGTGGGGCCCCTCTCCTCAGGGGGGCGGGGCGAGGAGCGCGGGCCAGAGGGGTGGGACAGTCCAGGTGAGCCAGGGAGGAGCGGGGACCACACAGCTTAGTGAGGACAGGTGGCCTTGTGTCTCTTCACCTCTAAAACCGGGAAACACCTTTGTGCAGGGGCCACATCTGTAGAATCTGTATCATTTCACACAAAACTGCTTGAGGAGAACAGAGAGCACAGCCAGCTGGCCCCAAAACTGCTTGCCCTGCCCTATGCAGAGAAGGGGAGGAGAAGAAAAACAGGATTAAAAGAGCCAGAGACTTTGGAAAATAAATCATTGCTGTTTAGACTCTGCCCATTCCATCACACTCACAGCTGCCCTTCCAGAGGCCTGGCCGCACTGGAGCTTGGCAGTGCCTGACACCTTCCATCTGTCTCTGGGTTTGTCTCTGCGAGGGAGCCCTTTGGGGAACGTGAGCGCTCCCCCACCCACCGCGGCTGCAGGAGCCTCCGCTACGCGCTTGCCGCAGCTCCTGGCCGCGTGGCCCCACGGGCCCTCGTTAGGCGCCCAGCGTCAGCACGCCCGACGCCAGTCACCCATCATGAGTCTGGTAGCGCCTCACATTAGGGCACGTCCTGTATCCTGTGACTAAAATAGGAGAGCCTGCCATACGGTCACATTTCGCAGTAATGACAAGTAGTTTAGAATATGTTTGAATAACTTTTCACCGTAAATTTAATTTAATTTAATTTACCTGTAAATTCACCAAGTCCCCTGAATACCTTCCTCTGTTTATGCCCAGGAGCAAGGACAATCTCAGGACATCCTAGGCCCTGGGAATGAGACCTTCCGTCCTCTTGTCAAGGCCACCCCCCCACCATCCATCCCAGCATCACAGGGGACACACTGGGGACAAGAGAGCTTTCTGCATCCACCAGGAGCCACGTGTTTTGAGAGGTGTTGGCGCAGGACTCAGAGGTAAGCAGGAGATACGCCGCTCCTTTGCTTCCGCCATTTATCACCGTAACAACAATAACGTGGACAAGCACCCTGTGCGCGGACTGCCTAGGCTGTGCCAGGCCCTCCCCGGGGCCCTTTGTATGTCATCTCGTTTAATCCTCACCCCAATCCTACGGGACTGGCACTGCTGTCCCCGTTTTTCAGACCCGCCTAGTCTCTCAGCCCCTAAACGGCAGGCTCCAGCTTCCAAGTTCCTAGCTTCTCCATCCCTGCCCCTCCCCCAAGGGCAGCCGGTCAGCCGGTCCTGGTCCTGGGGTTGGGGGTGGCCGCCATCATCAGGACCTTCATCCTGTCGCCTGCTGCCTTACAGGGTGGATCTAGGATGTCTTAACACTTCCTCCCACCGGTCCCGCCACCAGGACCCGTCTTGACCCCTCACGCCCCAGCAAGCCTCCCCAACCCTGCCGGGGGCCCGGACCCCGCCCCTCCCGCGTGCTCTGTAGGACCGCCAGTGCTGGGCACTTGAAGTGCGACCCATGGACCCGCAGCCATGGCACCGACTGGGGGAGGGGCAAAATCTCAGACCCGCCCACACCCACACTTTCACAGGACCCCGGGGGCTCCGGTGCCCCTAGCCGCCCTGTGACTTTTGTCCTCATCGCTTTTCCACGGTTTCATGTGGTTCTAGAGCTGTTGGTTACATGGCCCTTTGTCTTTTTGGAGAGGTTATAAGTGAAACGTGGGTTTGTCCCGATCACTGGAGATGGTCCGAGGTGCGTCCTGGGAATAGATCTGGTAATTCGGGGTCCTTGCCCCGGAGCCGTCACGGGGTAAGTAAGCCCTGTTGAATGGCAGCATGACCCTCCGTTGGACCCCAAGGACTCAGTGGCCTCAAAGGCACCGCCTCCCTTGGCCTGCGCTCAGTCCTGGAGGACGCTTAGGGCTGTGCAGGGAGGCTCCTGAAAGAAATGACGCTTGATTTTTTTTTTTTTAAGCAAGAAAGAATCCAGCCCCACTCTGGCATTCTCCCCTAGGGCTGTCCCCTCTGACCCCGCTGCTCAGGCGTCCCAGTGCGTGCATTCCTGGCAGCCCAGCCACAGGAATCAGAGAGGGGCCACCTGCCATTTCAGAGCCCTGTCTCTGAAGGGTTGCGTCGGGATCGCAGCCGCCTCCCTGAGTCACTGCACTTCTTCAGGCTGTTGCTGCTCTCCAACGGCTCTCTCATATTTTAGTCACCTTTCTAACCTGTGCCCCAGCCCTGAGAGAAAGGCGGTGTATTT